AGATAGAAAAGCAGCCATGTGAGAATAAGTGCATGCCTCACATATGTCCCCTTGGCACAGGCTACTTCTGAGACTAGGAAGTCAGAGCAATAACCAACCTCCCGGGCACGCAGTGCTCCAACTGCCACCATTAGAAGTGGCTGGTTATACACACACCACAGCTCTTCACATCTCAAGCTACACATGCACATCTCACATAGCACAGGAGACTAGACTGCTGTCCCCCTGTGATCCAAGCACACACACACCTCCTACAGCCAAGCCCCTGACACCTAACTGAGATATGACATTGACTAAGTGAGCAACTGCTGCCAGCAGCAAGGTGTGGTAATGCCAAATCCCTGGCTGACAGAGATCCTGACTCTCTACTCCCACCGGGAAACCTTTTGCTGGTCTGGTGGCTGCATAAGCACATCTCTCACATTTAGACCCTGCACTTTCCACCCCATGATGCAGATGACAGGAGACAGGCACTGAACTCTGTTTTCAGTTTACAGACACAAAATCTTAACAGAGTAGCAAATTAAACCCCCTGCATTTTCCCCATGGCTATCTGCAAGAGAAAAGGGGGAGGAAGGAATGACACAAAGGACTTCACATTCCTCAGTGACAGAAGAAAGAACCAATGTATGCATTTGCTGATACCCTCAGCATTAGGATGCCTCTGTGTAGACTTAAGAAACAATGAGCCTTGACTTCAGGTAATGAACAAAAGGGATAGAAGAGGGAAGCTGCACAGAGGCTTTGTAGACTGCTTTGCTCACAGGGGTCCCCCTCTCTCCTGATGTATAAACACAGGAGTCCATGAAGGTCCAAGAGGTTCTGTGTTGTGCAGACATAGGGCTGTTTGGGATCAGTCTAGCAATTACATGCAGCACAATAAGTCCAGTTATGAGTTTTTGCAGAGCATCAGCCTAACTAAGTCAGAGCCAGATCTTACAACCTCTGGTTCTGCTGCCTAAGGAGGCAGGAGGTCTGGAGACACTTCAGCGCTATATCTTGCAGGAATTGTATTTAGGAAGAAGAGGCGGGATGTTTCCCCTTTGTAATCTTGTTTTATAACCCTGAAAACTGGGTCAGACTGAGGATTTGACAGACCAAAGCAGTTTTATTTGCCTTGAAACACAACTGCCTTAAGATGCTGTTCTGTCTAATGGCAGAAAAGCCTCAGAGTGCTCAGATAGATTAGCAAGCCCCTCAAAAGCATTTAAGGAGCATGTTATCCAACCACAGTGCAAAGAACTCTGCAGCTGGAGCTGGATGCAATTGCCATCCTCTTGGCCATCAGTGTCACACAGGTGAAACAGCACTTACAGCCCTGACTCTCTACACTTGGCTAACAAAGCTGATGGACCTTTTACAACCACACATGCAAAAACAACTAATCCCATTAGCTTCTAAGATGTTCCAGGATCCTAGAGCACCTGACTTGCTAGAGCTAGTGGGTGAGACTGGGATGCACATGGTTTGTCTGCAGCACAGCAGAGGCCACTAATAACCCAATGCAGATATTTTAAGGACACCACCATAATCATTCTGGTAGCAACTCAATCCACTGCACATGTGCCTGAACAGGATGTTTGCCAAGGAGCGGAGAATGGGTCAGTATGGCTCAGGCAGGAACGTGGGATGAAATATCAGAGACAGCTTCCTGAAAGGGAATATTCCTCAAAAGGATGCAGAGGAAATATGATCACCAAAGTGAGCCTTGACCTGATCAGAGCACCATGACTGCTTCAGTTGGAAATATTCTGATGATAACAGCAATTTAAGAGGTGGTGTTTCTGTTCTTAATACATAAAAAGGACAAAGAGAAGCAGAAACTACGTCCACAGCCCAAGTCTGCCAGCATCAACTCACTGAAACATCCAAATGCCTTCCCTTTGCTGAGAAAATCTCACATTGTATCCCTGCAGGGATGCTCTTAGCCAGCAAAAGCAGCATGCAGGATCTGCTCAGAAGGAGATGAGCCTGCGCAGGAAAGCCTTACCTCAGCCAGTTGCTGCTGTCCAAGGGTGCTCAGGCCCCGCTGTGAGGAATCCACCACCTGTGATTCAGTATCTCGTTTCACTGTTCCCTCCTCTGCCAGGGGCTGGATTTCTTCACTGATCTGCTGCTGTTCTTTCTGGAGTTTTGCCTCCTCCAGGTACCTACCATGGATCAGATGCCTCAGTACAGGAGAAGGAGGACTTCTCAGTCCCCAGAATTTTGACTGAGAAATCCTTCTGCATGTTTTGGGATGGAGCAAACAGCCCATATGAATTGTACTCTCTCAGATCACAGATTAAATACTCTGGTTTTAGCTCAACTCCCCAGTTACAGTCTACTTTACTGATCTGAAACTTCCACTCCTATCTACCTCACCCTTGGACTCTCTCTACAAAACTTTACCAAAACATTTTGATCATAACCTGTGCCTGTTGCTCCGTTCCTTATTTCCTCTTGTGTGTAGTTGTCAATTCTCTCTCTACCTTTCATCTGCAATAAGTAAGAAACATCATTTAATCCTCAGCATTTTAAAAAGAAATCTTTTTATCACTGATGGATTAGGAAGAGATGCCTTTAGCACGTGTAGGAAGCAACAGGACTCCTGTTAGCACTTCTGGGCTCTATTCCATGTTCTGCTACCCCACAGAACTTTGAGTCACACCCACAAGAGCTGCAAGGAGCTACAGTCCAAGATTTTGAGCAGAGGTCAAAATTTAGTTCAGTTTAGGGTAGAAGAACTGTAGGGAGGAATGATAGCGTGGCATTTGCATACCTGTGAGGGATGAAGACACCATAGCCAGTAGTACTCAGCAGCTTCTGGTCTCTGATGCAAGCACTTAGCCAGGATGCCTTCACCAGCTGCAGCCCCGGGGGCAGCTTGGTTAGTTTCAGGAGCCGAAAGGCCCGGTCACAGTCCATGTCTTCAGCCACAATGACGTGTGTCACCTCCAGGGAGAGCTGGCTCTGTACGACACCCCCATTGTGGACAATCTGCTTGTGGAAGATCTCTGCCCTGGCCTGGCCAAGGCCAGCTTGCAGCACATAGGCAGTGACGGGTTTCAGCCACTCTGCTGAGGGAAGCACAGGGGCAGGGGCTCAGCGACAAGATAATGTGCCCCCAGCCAATAGGGCTACATCTCACACAGGATTTGATGGCACTGGCAGGCAGTCTTTGGGGGGCTCCAGCTGGACACACCAAAGCAAGCTGACCATGATCTCTACAGAAAACACACTAAGGGCTGGAAAATGACTCTGGGGAACAGCACTTCCAGTTAACAAGCTGGGTAGGAGTATTATATTCCACATCATAGGGACACAGGACTTACCCTCAGGTACCTCTGTTCCTTCATCTTTTGGGATCTTTGGAGGGACACTTTTCCCTGAGTCATCCCTCACCTTCTTCCTCTTGGGAAAGGCTTTTACAATCCCTCGTGGCTCCATAGGCCTGGTGAGAAGGTTAGCAGCAATTGCTGAAGACAAATAAGAAAGAGCAAGGTTGCTTAGAACAGTGTTACCCAATCACAACAACTTAGAGATTCACTCATTTTTCTGACTTTGTTGGTCTGAAGTTCTTTTTTTGTTGTTGCCTTCCAAAAACACTCACCTTGAGGGAGGCACCCAGAAACAAGAATTGCAGCCAACAAGGTCACAAAAATCAAAGTCACTTAAGTCGGCCCTGCTCAAATGCCTTAAAAATCCCTAAGGTTGAGATCTTATAACAGAAAGCATTCAACTACTTTAACATTTTGGAGCTCCTTCCTGCCCAGCCAAAAGAAGCAACTGCATTTCCTAGATACTTAAGCACATTCCCAAGAGGGAAACACCTCTCCTACCAGGGCTGAAATCCAGTCACTAACAAAAAGAAATAAAACAGTTGATTGACACCAGGTGTTTCACAGAGCCATAAGAAGAAAACTCCCAACTCAGCTTCAGCTGAAAACAGCAAATTAGTAAAGATTAACTAGCCAAGTTTAATATGGGTACAGTTGTAGTTTTACCATCACAAACCCTGCAAAAGTAAACTTCAGAGCTTTAACTACCAGGATAGCAGGAAGCTCAGTTTTCTGTAGCCCGAACGAGCCCCTGAATCACTGTATATCCCAACAGCCCCTTCCATCAAGTCAACACCAACTTGGTTTCCTCTCTGTGGAGCACTCTGTGTTTCACTTAAGAGGTTTCTCACACGCAGGCCAGCACAAACCTATCCTATTACGCCTGGAGAGCTGAAAATGATCCCACCTGGCTGTGTCTTCTCATCTGAGCATTAAACACAATCCTCTGAAGATCAACCCAGAGCTCAACTCAAGTCCTTGCTCTTGCGAGTAAGAGTTCAGCTACGGGGGAACAGAAACCCTGCTTGCATTCCTAAAACTCACCTTCGCTGAAATGTTTCTGTTTTCTGGTCGTTTTGACCAAAACGAACCCTCTGGAAACAGTAATCCTTTATGTTAGACAAAGGGGGAAAAACCCACGCCGAAGCCCTGCCAAGCCTGCGGGTGCCCAAGTCCATTTCAAGAACTGGGCAGTGTGTTTCTCCAGGCCGGATTTTAACTCGCCATAGCCACAGCCCGCGCGCTGGGTGCCAAGCTTGCCTTGCCCAGCCTCCTCAGGCCGCGAAGGTCAAGGACACCGACCCGGGGCTGGCAACACCCGCAACGCCGGGGGCAGCAAGAACGACCCCCCAAACCTGTAGCCGGGCCGCGGGGGGACGAGGGAAGGCGGGGGCGTATGGGGCGGCAATCCGACAGTACCCTCCCGACGGGACGCACCGCAGGAGGGGAGCTGTGCCCGGGCCGGGTCGGGGCTGTGCCCGGGTCGGGTCGGGGCTGTGCCCGGGCAGGGCTCCGCTCACCTCGGCCCGGCCGGGAAGCGCTTCCGGCGGCGGGCGGAAGTTTCGGCGTTGCCGCGGTGACGCCGCGGCCGCCATGGCGGTGCCGGGCTGGCTGGAGCGGCTGCGGGCGGCCCGCAAGACCGCGCTGGTGCAGGACGGTAACGGCGGGGCGAGGGACGGGACAGCCCCCGCCGGCCCCCGCCGTGGGGTTTGGGGTGACTCTACGGCGAGCGGGCGAAGAGGGGAGCGCTGCCGGGCACAGCCCCGCAGCCCGGGCAGGGCCCCAGGGAAGGACACAAGGCCGTCAATGCAGGGACACTTGGCAGTGCCCCTCTGTATCTCCTGGCAGTGGGATGGGGTCCCGGACAATGGGATAGTGCCCCAGACAGCGGGACAGAGCGTCACACCCAGGGGTAGGTGTATCCCTGTTTGCTCTCACCACCTGCTTTGCCTCTAGGGAAGCGAAAGATCCACTACCTGTTTGAGGATGGGAAGGAGATGGCTGAAGAGTACGACATCAAGACCGGCCAGTTGATGAGTAAGTGTTGCTCTCAGCTGTCCCGTGGGTCGGGACAGAACCGCAGGGCCGTGGGTCTGCACGCTCAGAGCTGGGGTATGGAGAGAGACTGCCTGGTCAGGAAAAAATTGCCTGTACATATCTTGGGAGATAGGCATGGCTGTAGCGGGATTTTATAGGCACATAAGTACAGTTCCGCTTGCAGCCAGGGCTCTCTGACTTCCATGGCACAGCCAATCTTGCTTTAGCCCAGGATCTTCCCCAAACACCTCATTTCTCACAACAAACTTGGATGGATTAAATGGTATTGCCATTGTGGTTTCCTGGCACTGAGTCTGTACCACATACAGGGCTGAAATATGCTTTTTGGTGGCTTCTGCAACCACAAAAAAGCACGGTGTCAATTATGGCTCTTGTCCAAAACCACATCAGCTGCAGCATGGCACCTGTTGCAACCCTGCCATGGTTTCAGCACCCAGTAGCAAAAAAGAGAGGCATTCAGTACAGAATTTCCAACTTTAGGAATAAGCTGGTTAGCAGATCCACTCACACCAGAGTGGAAATTACTGGAATTAAGATACACATGTTCATCTCATCTCAGCTGCCGGGCAGCTTTGGCAGTCATTTGCTGGAGTTGTTATAGAGCAGGATAATGAAAACCCTTCTTGTCTCTTCCACAGGTAGAAAATGGCGAGAGAAGAACACTCTCGGGGGCTCTGGCAAGTGGCAGGTAGAAGTGGGAGAGCCGACCTCGCCACTCCTGGGAGCACTGGAGTCAGAGCTCATAACGGAGAGCAGCTCAAATGTATGTAAGGATCTGCAGGCACCACTGTGTCTAAAATTACCTAGTCTTGTGCTTACAGCAGTAGTTGGTAGATCACTCACAGCCCAAGAGACAGCCTTAACGTGCCCAGCACTCAGCTACGCATCATCCCAAAGCTGCAGGGCTGGGTAGAAAGAAGGTACAGCCTAGGTTTTTTGGGGGTCTTCAAGAGATTTGTCATTTCCCTAAGTAAAGAAACTGTATTGCTGTGTTGGGCAACTACTGTCCTGGCTTCTGAAAAAGCAGGCTGACAGGGGAGCCAGTGCCGGGACAAGTCAAGGGATGGAAAACAGAGGCGACAGAAATGAAAGGCCAACACAGGCAGTGCATAGCAGAGTACAGCCTGTTTCATCTTCACACCCCTCTGGCTTAGAGGGAAGACATTTTTGTCTCTCACCATCTTTTCTACAGACCTAAAACACAAGCACAGATCTGCACGGTAAACTGGGGCAGAGCCAGGACTGAATCCAGCAGGTCCCTAGAACAGGCAGAGCACAGTATTTGGTTGCCTGTGAGGAAGAGGCCCAGTTTCACTGTAACCCTCAGCAAGACTCCCTTGCTGAAGTTTCAGCCTCCTGCAAGCAGAGCAGGCAGTGCCCTGGGTAAAGGCAAAGCACTAGTTCTAGGAAAGTGGTGCTCAGGCAGCTTCTTGAGTTACTCTCTAATATTCCAGTGTGAAAGAAGAGCTACTCCCACGTGGAGTCTCACAAGGTAGTACAGGAAGAAAGGGGCAGGGAGGAGAGAAGGCAGCTGGAGGGGCCTTGCTAAAGGTACGTGTTTGCTGTAGCCTGTCTTCATGAGGAAGGATACCCTGAGCAGCTTCCAGTGGCGGATCCGTAACCTGCCCTACCCCAAGGAGGTCTACAGCGTCTCCGTGGAGGAGGAGCAGCGCTGCTGTGTCATCCGGACCACCAACAAGAAGTCAGTAAGGACAGAACTGCCAGTACTGGCAGTCCCTCGGGGTGGGCTGGCACAGAGAGCAAACTAGTGATTGTACAGGGGAGTTATCCCCTCTTGCCTTCTGTCCCTTGTGTGCAAGGGCTGAAGGGCCCCACCTCGCAGTGATGTCTCCTGCTGCCCAATTTCCACTCCCAACTGCACCAGACACATTTACAGTAGAGCTCCTCAAGCTCTGCACTTGCAAATTCGTCTCTTGGTTCCAGTAGTGTGGTGTTTGCTCTGTCCTTTCCCTGTCAGATGTTGCTGCCTTAGAAAAATAAAGTAAGAGCCTTGCAGACCTTTGGAAGGTAGAGCATTCCATCATCTCCCTCTGACATGACACTTTAATCTAGTCACTGCATCTCAGAATGCAGCAGATCCAGCAAAGTCGGGGGCACTCAGACAGACAGATCTCCCTGCGTAAACCTGTCCTGTAGCCACAATGCCAATGACACGATCTGTAAGTAGCAAGAAAAAAAGACAGACTGAATCTGGAAAGGAAGCACTATGGTGTTCTACCAAAAGAGATTTGAGATTGGAGGGAAAAGAAAAGGAAAATGCTTTTAAGCATCATCTTTTAGTGTGTCAGTACATGGTATCTCTCATGGAATGACACATGCACTGTGCCCCAAACCATGTAGATGCTCAGATAAGCCAGGATGAGCGGTAGTATTGGGAAGGAGGGCAGAGAGCGAGCCGCGGGTGCACAAGGGAGGATGTTGGAAGTGGCTGTAGGTGGTGCTGTCGGCACAGAACTGCGGCTCCTCGGCTGCTTCACGTCGCGGCACAACGCGAGTCTCCCGGTGAGCGGCTGCTCGAGCACTTCACGTCAGCACACCTGGAGGCTCAAAAGCAGGAGGCTGGGAAGGGAGAGCCTACCCCATGAAAACAGCAAGCAGTTCCAGCTGTAATGCAGAAAGATGTTGGCCTAAATGCACGCAGAAGAATTCACAGAAGAGTGGCACTTTAGTAGGGAGGGCTTTGTAGCAAAAGATGAATGAGATTCCATCAGCCACATGTGGATACACATGGAGCTAGAACAGGAACGGAGTATGTGATCCTAAATCCAACCACATACCATCACAACGAGGCTTATCTACCCCCAGTCCTACTGATAGTAGTGTGTATGTGGGAACTTCCTCGCCTGCTTAGGTGCTGTAGGGTTATAATGTAGCACTGAGGCTTCACCCACGCCCTACTTGACTTCAGACTTTTTTTGTACCGCTGTCAGGAAATCAGCTGACTTCCCCTACAGGCAGCAGAGAGTTACAATCTCATAGACTAGTGTCAGAAAGAGTCGAGGGACTTAACAGCAACCCATGGTCTGCATATGACTGTTAAGGACTTTTGGAATTAAAGCTGAAAGTCACCTCATTGGGGACAAGAATGACGTTGCTGTCAGTAGAGAGCAGGGACAGACTCCAGCACTGGAACACTTAGTACAGGCTCCAGGATATCTTAGATCATTTCTCCTGGGTCTCAGCCAGGGCAAGGCAACACTCAGCAACTAATTCCAAGATAGCAACAAAGGCATGGAGTCCACAGAGAGAACGCACATCACTACGGGAGAGAAAGGAAGCCTCGGAGCCTCTCCAGCACTTGGAAGTCAGCCACGCTGCTTCTGAGCAGCAGAGCTGTGCTGACTGCCAGCCAGAGGCACAAGTAACAGGATGGGCTGCCAAGTCACTACTGAATACCTCAGCTCTAAATTCTCAGCATACCAGTAGCAGTTTTCCCTACAGGCTGACAAAAAGTGGGTTTCCAGTAGGAAAATAATAGAGGTGATTTCACATACGTACTTTGGATCTCAGGCCAGGACTCATGCTCAGAGTGTAATACTGCCCTTGGCCATGGGGTGAGAGGCGAGGGCAGAGAATCAGCCTGCATCGGTAGGGATAACCACCCATCAACTACCTCCCCAGCCCAGACAGGAGCTCTTCACTTCCACCAGTCACTCCCATTCCCTCTGGCCACGGCAAGGGCTGCTCAAGTGGGATTTGCTTAAAACCTCTTGCTGTAAAATAAATCCATTAAACTAAACTCTAAAAACAAACCCAGAAAGCCACCTCCCCAAACGCCAAACCTGATTCAATTATTGTAGCGAGAGGCAGTGGTAACGTTAGGAGGAGGAGGGGGTGGCAAGGCAGATCTGGTTTCCTTTGATCTTGTCACAGATTTTAGTTTGAGGCCAGCCAAAGCCATTCTTCTCCCCTTCTCCTTAGTCCTGGGGCAGCAGAATGCTGCTGTTTCATTGATGACTTCCAAGGCCCTTTGAAACAGTGGGTTTTTTCTGTGTACTGCTTTTTTTTTGTCTAATCGGTAAGAAGTTAACACTTCCTTAACATGTCTTTGTGTTCATCTAATCTCTGCTGTTTAACCTTTGACATCTCCCTTATTATCCATGTCTGCCACCTTTTCCAAATACCGACAGCAGTGACAACACAGAACGGTTTGAGCCCTGCGGTAACAAGCCGTGTACATTCCTCCCACTGCACCGGGAGAGCCATTTGCTCTTTGTAGCTGTTTTCACCGTGACTTGGAAAATAAACTGCAATTTGGGCAGAGGTAGCTAAAGAGGCCAAGCCTCACACACAGCCAGCTGAATGGAGGACCACCTCTCATGGCATGACAGCAGCCACTACCTCTTCCCATTCTGCTCCAGGCACCTCTGTACCGGCCACAGGCCAATTCCTTGGAGAGGACTGCCCACAAGAGTGTTGGAAGAGATTAAGAATCCAACCATGCCTCTGGGTGAGCACAGGACCACCAGCTAGTGGTAGAGAAGCAGTAGATGCAGGGCGAGCCATGGCAAGCAAGAAAGATCTCAGGCAAACACAGACACAAGTCTACAGCGATCTGGCCCCAAAGTCTTAGGAAATCTCTTTGCTGCCTAGAGAGCTTTTAACCTCTCCAGTTCTGAGACATATCACCTTTCTTTCATACTGAGCAAAGCCCAAGGTTTGGTTGGCGGAGAGACACAGGCTGGACAGGGAGCTGGCAAAAACCTCCCCGTCCTCTGCTTGGATGTGAGAGGTTATTGGAAGACTGGGATAGAAACCAGGAAAAGAACAACTAGGAGAGCTGTAAGTGCAGGTGAGCATCACAGCCACCATGTGGGCTGCATGGAGACACTGCAGGGCAGAGGCTTGAGTGACTGTGGGCAGCTACACCTGGAGATCTGCTCCCAGGGCTATGCCTGAGCACCACCGTGCCACCAAAGCAAGAAGTTTATCTAGAAAGCACAGCAAGAAGTCAAAAAGATGGGTTTAGGAAGGATTGCAACACAAAATGGTGCATCACTCAGAAAAGTAAGTCATATGGCACAAGAGCTTTGACAGCTGTTTTGACAAAAGCTAAATGGATCTGCTAGAGGGAATGAGAGGCCACGAGCAGGGACAAAGATAAGGGACACCTCTTGGTAGGGCTGAGTAGTCTATGCCTAACCATGTCTGTTAGTACTTAAGGGCAAGCTGGAGGGACCAAGCCTGCTCTCACACACCAAAACACTTCAGGACTTTGCCAGCTCTGATTTCCAGTTTGGAGGTTTGTTTCTAGTGCTCCTGCCAGCCTGGGGGCACCGGCAGGCAAACAACATGGTACAGGGGCCTCCTGCCAACCCTGAGAGATCTATGGAGCTCATCTACACCTTGTAAAACAGCAGTCTGTGTCTCAGCACTGCTAGCAGAGAAATAGAAACCCCACCTTCCTTAATTCTGTCTCCTCTCTCATTTGTAGGTACTATAAAAAGTTCTCTATTCCTGATCTGGACCGATACCACCTCCCCTTGGACGCAGCTGCCCTGAGCTTCGCCCATGCCAACAACACCCTGATCATCACGGTGAGGTTTTAGCAACACAGAACAGCACTTTGCCGTTCTCTTTATGCCCACAAAGAAGTTAAAATTCTTACACGTGGGGAAATGAGGCAGAGCAGGAAGATCTGCTGAGGGTCACTGATGAGCCCCCTTCTCTGTCACACAGTCAGTGAGAGTTTCAGATTACACTGGGCATGCTGACACTAGCCAGGAGAGCCCAGACTGCAGGAGGGGCCCTGCCTACTTCTAAAGGTGACTTGCAGGTGGAAGAGTGTCTGTCATGCCCTATTTTCCACATATCCTCTCTGTCAGGCCTGAGCAAGCCTCTACTCTCAGTGACAATAAGTTTCTCTTGGCTCTAAACATAAGAGTCCAAGGACCTGATGCACTTAGAGGTCTCTCAATCTTAAAAAAAAAAAAAAAAAAAAAAAATCACCTGCTGCTTTGTGTCAGAGAGGGAATACTCCCACACACATGGTGGTAGCAAGAGACACGCTCCTTATTGCAAGGAGCAGACATGCTTTTGAGCAGCAGGTGCTTGTCTTCTTCAATGCAGAAGTCAGCTACCCAGAGGGCATGCCCTCTGCAGGAAACCTCGCAGCAGAGCTGGGGTGCACGTGCAGAGGAGATGGGCCAAGGGGAGCACCTTGAGTGCTCCTGAGCTTCTGTTTGCTACGGGCCAAAAAGCACCTGCATCCACTACTAAACTGCAGCTGGGCGAGGGGCCTCTGAGGGGTGAACAGAGGAACTGTAACTCTTACTTCTCTCTGCATTAAAAAAAAAAAAAAAAATTTATATATATATATATATAAATAACACTCGTGAACATACAGTTAGTGAGCACAGCAAGGATTTGCTTGCCAGGATATTCCAGAGGGGTTGGTGGGGGCCAATTGGAAAGTTCTATTTGCACTGTAAAAGATGCTCTAGATCTTGGAAAATGTCCTTAGCTTGATGGCACCACCTCTCCAAATGGGCTTCAGAGGCAGCTGATATCAGCAGGGCCTCCCTTGGCAGGAGGGCCCTGCTGGGCTGGTAGCACCCAGCCCCAGTTGGTCTGCTTGGAGAAGAGACTGACCAGGAGTGCTTAGGGAATGTCTCTCTGTCCTACAGTACCAGAAGCCGAAGGAGATCCTGGCCGCAGAAGAACAGCTGCAGAAGGAGCTGAAGAAGATAAAGGCAGCTAACAGTGGGGATGGAGACTGTAAGACCCAGTAGGCAGCGGCTGCTCAGAGGTTGAGGTGAGGGGCAGCTCTCTGGCACAGCTTCACGGTATTTATTTTGCCTTATCTAATAAAAATTAGTTCTGTGGTTAATTGCGCCATTTGGAGGAATCTTTGTAGGCCCGGGGAGATGGCAGGGCAGTTGATCTGTCTGCTGCCTGGTCTGCTGATTTATGCAGACATTTTATAGAACCATAGAATGGTTTGGGTTGGAAGAGACCTTAAAGATCATCTCGTCCCAACCCTGCTGCCATGGGCAGGGACACCTTCCACTAGTTGAGGTTGCTCAAAGCCTCATCCAACTTGGCTTTGAACACTTCTAGGGATGGGGATGATCCTTCTATGAGTTGTGGAAAGCTGCAGCACACAAAGGAAGCACACCACATCCACAGCCAGCAGCCCTGTCCCCATCCTCCATGAGCAACATGACACCTGGCTAGTTCCCCTTGGGAATTCCCTCTGTCTGCCACCATCACCATCAAAGGCAGTAATGTTTGGAAAACAAGAATACCCTCCTCACACCCTTTACCTGCCTGGGATATGCTTGGAAGCAATTCCCTCCTGTGCGGTTGTGCAGGTCCTCCGTGCAGTGAGAAGGATGCTCTGGTGACCCTGGTATCTCTGCAAACAGCACCAGTGCTTAGACCTGAGTGGGCACAGCCCATGAAACAGCTGCTCCCTCACCGTGCACAAAGTGACATGGCTGTGCAGGAACCGAAAGGCAGCTGCCTTCATTTGCATGGCAGAGGGGGAAGCAGTGGCCGGGCCACTGACCAGCTCAGGAGCAGCAGTAGCCCACCCTTCTGTGAAGGCACAAACGTGGCCATTGCAAACCTCACTGCACAGGAACAAGCCAAACAATGCTGCTCCTTTCCAACTCCCCTCCAACAGCCACCCCTGTGCTTAGATTTCTGAATGTTGTTCCATCCCAGTCCATACTTGAACAGTTCCTATCCAAACAAACCCTACCTTCAAGTGAGCTGCTCATGGGCTCCTAGCATAGCTCCCCTGAGTGGGGTTGCTTTCAAACCACAAAAACTCCTTAGAGCACAGGGCTCCAGCAAACATCCTCCTCCAATTCTTGTGCATCACAAGGGAAGATCAGCCTCTTGACAGTGGAAATCAACCTATTGAGTTCTAACAAAGCACCATGCTGAGTGCCTCACCATAGAAATGCTCCCAGTTTGTGATACAAACCTCTCCTTTACCTAGCCAGGACACCCAAACTCAGAGCCAAGTAGGGTTCATGCACCTCCTTCCCCAAGGAGGGCCAGATCCCAGACACCACTGTATTCACCCACAGCACATTCATTCACACCCATGCAGACAGCACAGAGCACACTGAAAGCTATGGTTGTTCAGAGACCCAAGTTGGGTTCAGAAGGATGACACAAAAAGGAGCAGAGCCCACTTGAATGTGTTTACAGGATCCCCGTAAATCACATCCAGGTGTTTGCACTAGTCTGTTTTGCTGCTTCATTATGCAGGCAGCAAATGAGTCACAGATCCTACTTTTTGAATTCTTGTTTGAAAAGTGACAGGTAATCCAAAATCCCAAGAATACCTTCAATGTAGCAGTGTCACAGGGTCTAGCCAGGGAGAGAGCTCTATCAGACAGCTTCTAACCCACCTTAACCCAACCTCCCCTACACAGCCAGGCCCCTGCAGTCAGCAGGTAATGTTGCAGCCCCTTTGGAACTTGAAACAAAATATACATCTCTTTTGTTTCCCTTCAGTTTTATTTAGCAAAACATGACCATTTCAGCCCTGCCGAGTGCACAGCCTGACCTTACAGCCAGCTTGGGGAGGCACACACTGAAAGCAGGGCTGGCTCTGCCTTTTAGCTCAGTTGTTACTCTTGGCTGTGAAGGACAACACAAGCAGCTGTCAGGAGAGAAAGTGCACGAGAAAGGTGGGCCCCAGTCCAGGGACCTTTCCCTTCCACCAAATCAGTCCACCCCACACATAGCCTAGACTTGCTTCAAATGGCTCAGAGCTTGGCTGATCTCAGCCTGACCAGCGTACACAGCTGATAGGGCATTCTGGCTCAACTTGCCCTCCAAAGACTGTATCCACAGGAAAAGTAAGAGGGCAAAAAAAAGAAAAAAAGTAACACAGTTAGTAAAACAAACCCTAACTTGCACAAAATAAAAAGGGTAGAGGACAGTTGGCCATTTATTTCCACTAACAGGCAGGTGAGGTTGAGAAAGTTTGACCCTTTTGTGCAGTCTTCATTGTAGCTTTCTGGCAGGCAAAAAAGTCCCTTCAGAAGCCTTGTGGGCCATTCTCACCTCTCCTGCCCTGCAATTCCCTGAGCCAAGTGTCAGCTCTGCTGCGTTGGGGTGACCAGAAGCAGCTGTGGTGCCCCTCAGGGGGCCGTGAAGTCCAGGACGTGCAGTGCTGATGCCAGGGCAGCATATAGGTGGGTGGTACTGAAACGGAGGCAGTATACTGGGCTGCTGGTGGGTGAAGACAGGTGAAAGCTCTGCAAGAAAACAGGAGAATCAACCTTTCAGAGAAGAGGTCAGCCTAAAGACCCTAGCAGGTGTTACAGATCCGAGGCTCAGATGCCTGAGAGAAGCAGGTTTTCCCTGCATATATAGGTTAGGTTCCCCACAGTGGGCTCACCCCAAGGACGGCCCAGCAGCCCCTCTCTCTTTTTGCAAAGACATATGGGCATTGGGCTGCCAGAGAACAGCTCTGCTGCTGCCCAGCCTCCAGCCAACACTCACCTGCAGGCACTGAGTCTGTCGCTTGTCCCAGAGGCGCACCACGCCGTAGTAAGAAGAGCCACTGGCAATCATATGGTTCTTATCACTCCCTATGCAGTACAGGGCACTGTCATGGGGCTCTTCCCACTCCTGGACGCACTTCCTGCAAAGGCAACACAAACCAGAGTGGGACTGAGTCTCTACTCCTCCACCCAATTTGCCCGAAAGAGCTAATTTGGCAACAGTCGAGTTCCCAGACACTGCACAAGGGAAGTCCAGGAGCCTCACGAGGGCCTCAGGTGGCAGCAGGCTGGCTCACCTGGTGCTGGTCCTTATGTCCCAGTAGCGGATGTAGGTGTCATACCCACAAGAAAGGAGAAGGGAGGGTGTTTCGTAGAAGACATCAAGGACTCCAGCTCCACGGTGGAAGTCGGTCCCTAAACAGGTCAACAGCTGACCACTGCAATGAAACACAACCGGGAAAGAGTCATTCGGAGCAAAGAGCTCTTCCAATTCAGCTAGCCAGAGCACAAATGGTACCACAGAAGTCTTCTAGATCTCATTTCTGCGATTCAACAGAATACAAAAGCCTGCACAGTTTTCCTCTCCTACCACCAGCTTCTGCTACCGCTTGGGCCACTAACTGTCATGAAGGGTGACCAGCTGGAGTCACAGCTCTAAGAGAAAAAGGCAAGGAACAGGTACAGCTGACCCCCAGCAGAATGAGATCATTTTCCTTGGGAGAAGTGACCAGTATTCTGAATTATGGGGCTCTGTTTCTAGAGAAGACAGTTCTCAACTTAGTCAAACTACAGATAATCTGCAAGAGCCACTTACCTGGTCAATCCCGTCCCATACTCTATCCTTCAAAATACTGCTCACTGGGGTATTTCCCTGTATCTTTGACACACAGCTCAGATCCACAGGCAAATCAGACTCTCCCAACCCAGTCTGCCGTGGCTGCTCTCCTCAACCCCCTCTAGTTACATTGCATTCTGCAAACATAATATCTGGGGCTGAATGCGACAGGTGAAGAGCAACTACCCCAAAGTGGCTCTGGAGATGACCTTCCAAAGGCTAGATGTTTGGGGTTTTTTGACCCTTTCCTCCTTTTAAATTCCTTGCTTGCAGTGAAAGAGCAAAAGCAAGACCTCCATGAAGCTCTGTGCTGGGTGCTTCGTGGAGGTATCACTCTGCTGCTTGTTCATGTGCAGAACCAGCAGCTCACCACGTGCAAGAAAAAGCTTGAGCCCCTTCCCTGGACCATATGAAATTGCATCAGGCACATGACACAGCCCATTCCCAGTATCACTGCACCTGCCCCAGCAGGCAGCAACACCCAGCCATGACAGACTCTTGGGAATGGAGGGGACAATCTACCCAGCTGCTTGAAATAGCCACCTATTGCAAGACCTCCTTTTCTTCCTCCTCCTCCTCCTCACACCGTCTACATCAAAAATGCTGGACACAATAAACCTTGAAGCACCTGCTTTTCAAACCCTGCCGCACGGCCACCCCTCTCCAACAGGCTCTTGGTTCTCAGGACAATGAAGCAATCCTGAAAGCCGACAGCACAGATCCCGCAGTGGGGTCACTCCCAGCATCTCCCTCCATTATTTTGTTACTTTCTGCTCCTTGATCCAGCATCACACAGTTCTGAGGCACATCGCCAAATGCCTTAATTCTGTCTGTAATCTGGGCTAAAGCCCTCGTCGGGGGATAAAGACCACACAAAAGGAGAAATAGAGTCCTGGGAGATGTTAAAACAAGTAAACACCTTTGTGTCAGGAGAGAGAAATCGCTGATAAAGCAGATTAGCGCCTCGAGCCCTGGTGTCCCCAGATCAGAAGGCGAGCCCTGGCCGATCTTTGCAGCCAGCACGCTTCTATGATCACAGAGCTGGCGGCATGCTGGGGCCAGCCTGTTTCCCCACAGTCACTCTCCAAAGAGCAGATTATGTAGAATAACAATTTCTTTGTGGCTGTGTAATTCCCTCCGTGACCGTGGCTGTGGGCAGCTACATTGGCCCTTGATGCCAGGGCCCTAGCAACCATTTAGAGAGGCCAACCAGCCCTAGCAATGGCCCCCCCCGCAAACCTCTCGGACAAGCTTTAACATCAAGTGCATGAATTAATTCCCCCCAACACGAATCCAGGGGTGCTGGCTTATTGGACTTTGTGTTTCTCCAGGCAAGGGATCGAGAGGATTCCAGGCTTCAGCCCTTTGCAACCTTCTCACAATACATTAACCCTTGGAATGTTACTTGCAAACTAACCCAGCAGCAACTCTGCACCTGTTTGTGGGTTGAGAGGTTGAAGCACTTGTGGTGCCAACACCGGGAGCAAGAGCTGTGGAGCTTGGTTGGCACAGATAGGTCCTCAGATCCACCATGGAGTGAGACACGGATACGTATCTCTGAGGTCTGGCACTCCCCTGCCCCTCCAAGCACACAAATCCCCTCCATCTGCAGTTCTGCAAAGCCAGCGGGACAGATGGACATGCACACAGCCCTTCTCAAGTCTTCTGCAAAACCTCTTCTTCCTACAAGTTATATGTGTGGCCCAGACTTGCAAGACAATGCAGCAGAGGTATGAGGAGGAGTCAGCTGTTCTCCTAGACAAGAATCTTTGGAGTACCTGTGAGTTGCATAAGGGACCAGACAGCTCAACTGGCAGAGTCCTCTGCCAGTTGCTCACGCAGGAGCAAAGAGTCACTCACAGGAGATGAGCTACCCCAGCAAACCCTAGGCAGCACCAGCAGCTTGGACCCCTCTCTCCCCACTTTGGCATTCTGCTGCCTTTTTTTGGGGGGTTTGCAGGGTAGCCCCTGGACTGGTGTTCTGAGCATGTGGCACTTCAGGAGAGGAAATCAGGACAGGCAGCTGCACATGGGCCACACAGCACAGCAGCACATCTGGTGAATATTCTGCTAGCTGACATCTGCCTTTGTTAGTTCCTTTCCACCATTTTCCCTTCTAATATACCTTTAGTATGTAAAGGACTAAGTGAGCTCAGGGAGAGAGTTCCGTGCTAAGGAAAGGTAGCAGGATACAAAAGCATGTCCAGGGATATTTTACTCACTGGGACCAGCCCTCTTCCTCTTCTCTTGAAATGGGTCACAGCAGATCTCACAGCAGATCTCCTCAAAACCTCCCACCTCTAAACAAGCACTCATCACACCCAGGGCAAACCTGGCCACGCTAAAGCAAGTCTTCCATTCCCCAGACCTGATTTCAGTCTGCAGCACTGCAAGATGGTAGCAATTTTTAATGGAGGCCTGGTAATGTCTCCAAGTGAAAAATTTCAGCATCACAGGGACAGGAGAAACCAGAGAGTCCGGATTCCTGCTTTCAGAGCTTCCTGTGCAGCACTAAACACCACCCAGGTGCCTCACTCCAAGTGTTCCTCCGTGCCTCCACACCTCACTTCACTGGTAGCCTAAGCATCCCAGCAGAGTCACACCAGTTTTCCTCCCTCCACTCCACTTCCCTTTCCATCCTAGGCAACAAAAATCAAAGAAAAGGTGGAAAAAAAGGGAGGGGAAAAAAACGATTAGCTTTTCTCTGTAGGCAGGGAAGGATCACAGATACTTTCACGTTACTGCAGCAAATTAAACATTACATTGCTGGTTTGTTGATTTGTGCACTTCTCCTGCCCCAAGAACAAGTCAGCCAAAGCAGCTCTCAGCTGCGAGGTGGAGTTCTTGGATGCAGCAGCCCTCAGCAGTTCACAGAAACAAGGTATTATTTGCTACAGTGAAGCACTTACTATCTGACACCAGGGAAAAATTCTGCTGTGCTGTACACTGGGCACACAAACCAAAACACTCAAGTGTTCTAGCAGGGACATACTTAAGGTGATAAAGAAGCAGAACATGATTAGTATTTCCCCCTTTTTTCAGCAGACTAAGGTGTCTCTGGACCAGCTACCACCATGCCAGACTAGCTCTATGAGCCAGCATCATACACAGACATGCTAAGCCCATGCTGAGAAGCGAACTCCCTGCCACCACAACTCTTCCAGCCTTGGGATCACAAGTTAGTGCCCACAAATTGTCCAGTCTTTGTTATCCCAAATACTTCCTGCCCTCAAACCCCAGACCCCAAAAGTTTTCACTTCCTAGGGAGCAAAATCCACACCTAATCCTTAATAACCCATAAAGGATCGAGATAACCCATGAATGGGCAACTGAAAAGCAGCAGCACATCGCCAGTGGTTTCTAACAGCTTAAATGGACAGAAGACACCTTCTCCATGAGGGACAGAAAGAGATGTCACCACTATCTTGAACTTCATTTATCAGCTCACAGAGATCAACAGCACTGGCCAAACACAGCAGGAAACAGCCTTCTCCTTTCCTTTGTGGTCCCTTTTTCTCCCAAACACCTTTCAAAACCCAGGTGGCTGATCCTCAGCCCTTCAGAGGCCCCCTCCTTGTTGGGGGCCATGAAGGTTAGTCAGGAAACATCTGTGAAGATCGAGCATGGAAGGTTCACACCACCTCCGCACCATGCCATGGCCCTCCAGCAGTATCAAGTAGAGGCTGTTTTCCCAGGCCTTTTCCAGGCAAGCCAGGTAGTTGCCTGTGCATATGGTAGGAGCTTTGTTTGTTTTCTGTACTGAACAACCTCGGCCAGATAGTGCCCAGGTTCAGTCCCAGTGCTGGGTGACACCAACAGAAACACCTCTGCACCAGTGGAGCTCTGTGAGGCAGAATCACAAATGTGACAGTGTAGGTTTCCCAGAGAGACCAGTCTAGAGCCAGAGCTCTCAGTTTCAGCACTTTAACCACAAACCACCTGGGCCAACGCAGTGCCTGCAGGTAGGCCTCCAGCATTGAGGAGTCTCACAGATATTCCTAATTCTTCCTACTTCCTGTCAAGCATCTATACACACCAAAATAATATTGGCAATACTCTGGTACCAGCTCACAAGGATCAGAGCCAGAGGAAATCCAGCAGCCCATTTTGTCCCTAGCACAGGAAAGCTGTTGGCACCAGGCTCTGGACTCCTCGCTGATAGAATAAAATGTTAAAACAAAGTCTGTGTGCCTGGGAAATGTATCAAACTGAGAAGTCAAAAAATGAAAGCCATTTTGTTCAGACACTATAGAGAATTCTTTGATTCATCTCCATCAATTTCCATGTTCTTCAGAAAATAAGACTTTACGAAATTACTTTTAAAAAAAGCTATTTTTTCAGGATTTCCACATTTCATTCTTTTCTTTCCACGCTGGAAATCTAGCCATTAGCATTGCTATTCTGATACCTCCAGAAGACAGGAGCCTTCTTGCCTGGAAGCAAAGTGAACTACTAATGAAGGGAAGAAGCAGGCTGGTTTCTTTAAGTTCTTGTTCTTCTTTTTAAAAACAGCTTAAAGTTCTATTCCTTCTCAGTCCACTAATATGGAGACAAAATAGGATCAGTCATGGTAGAGCTCAGATGGTTAGTTTCCAGATAATC